AAAAGGATCAATTGACGACAACACTGCTGGAGCGATATATTTTTCAACAACAAACTCTTCTGCAAGTTTAGACAGAACCGGAGTTAACGAAATAGGTCGGAGCTGTTTGCTTATGTCTTTAACAGGTTTCTCTTTCGGAATAGGTGTAATGTTAGCTTGTTTCCAGCATGAGGGCAGTCTTTTTTGCTTGTAGGACAAATTCAATAAGTCCGATACAGAGGGAGCAAGGATTTCGGCATAATCACGAAGAATCCAATTGGGGATATCATCAGGGCCCGGAGCTTTATGCGGGTTCAAGCTTTTCAGTTTTTTCAAGACCGATGCAGTATTTGTCAAATTCATGTTTACATCTAACGGATAATCAGGAATCTCCTCAAACAAGGTGTTCAAATCTGTAACATTTAAGGGATCATAAGTATTCATTGGTTCTATTAGGCTTTTGTTAATTAAATCTGCAAAACCTTTGTGTGTTAAATGTTCTGTATCTTCGACATGAAGGTGGTTAAGCAAACTGCCAGATACAGGTCTCATACCGGAGATACGTTTAACCTCTGTCCACCAAGATTTGGGGTTAGACTTTTTCAGATTAGCAACTTTTGAAGCAAAATAGTCTGCCCGGCAAGATTTTCTCATTCTATTCACTTTATTTCGGTAGAATTTGAAAAGAGTAGTGTTATTAGATGAAAACGCACGTTGTCGAAACTTGATCAGCTGTTTCAATTTTTCGGTTATCCATGGGTTGTCGTTGCGATGGAATTTAACGTGTTTCTCAGGCATAAGGATGTCATAACCCGTCTTTATTGCGGAGCATAAGATATCACAATTCTTATCGCACGGTTCGGAGGAATCGATAAGTTGCCAGTCAAAGTTACTCAGATATCGACCAAGTTCTTTTTTGCGTGATTGACGTATGTCTCTTTTTATTACTGTCTTTCTACTTGTGGTTTCTGATGATGTTTTAATTTTGGGCTCAACCATTATCACATTATGGTCTGATAATCCGAAAGGAGGGAAAACCATGGCTGGTTGTACATCGTAAAATTTATGCATGTTTGTAAGTATAAGATCCAAAATCTTGGCACCACGAGTTGGTTTATCAACCAATTGTTTTAACTGAAAATCTCGGCAAAGATCTTTAGTGTCAAAGTGGTTAAAATCACCAGCAATAATAATTCCACAGCCTGGAAAAAGACTTTCCAGTAGTGTCAGTGATTCTGATAGGTATTGAAAAAGATCTGTATTGCTGGAACTTGGAGGATGGTAGACGCACGCAGAAACAATGCCGTTAATTCCCCTTGGTAATCTTGGTGGTCTAATGTGTGTCCATAAAACCTCAAAGTCTAAATGTTCAATTTCAGGTAATCGTTTGAAACGGATGGAATTCTTTATGTACATGCAGACACCACCGTGGATACCAAGACTACGATCCCGCCTCACGAGGTGGTAATCAAATAAAGTCGCGAGTAAACTTCAGTTAAATGTGACTAACCCCAAGTATGATTTTTGGTATGTGTAATATTTGGGTCATTCGAAGAAATGTAATATATCTTTATAATAAAAAATCTCATCTTGATCAACTTTTTCACTGTCAAAGTTTCCGGATATGATGTCATTAGGTGAATTGCGAATTGGTTTTCCTTTTTTGTACCAAAATTTCACCTAATCACATCATATCCAGTGAAAAAGTTGATGAAGATGAGGTTTTTTACTATAAAGATATATTACATTTCTTCCTAGAATGACCCAAATATTACACATACCAAAAATCATATGTGCCAAAAATCATATGTGGTGTTAGTTGCACTTTAATAATAGAAGAAATGTCCGGTGCATTGAAATGACAACTGTCGAGAAATAAAAATTGCATTCCATCCCTGACGTAATTTGTAATAACGGTGTTCCACCTTAACACAATACTGTAGATATCGACCAGTTAACAAAAATCTTGCAACTGGTTGGCAAGCCTGACCGAGTTTTTTTGAGTAAAATATCAAGTGAAACAGTAAGCTAAAATCTGAATTGATATATTACTAACTATAATTTCAGGTTAACAATACTCGATATAGAAGCCGTCAGCTTGTGATTTTCGCCGTATACAGGGTGTATAAAAAAAACTGAACAGATTTAAAATTGCTCTCAATTTCGCAAAACAGCTATTTGTATCCGGTTTTTTATATATATAGCCTCTTTGGATACTTATAATGTAGAATAATGAGAAAAATTTCTCGAACTCAAATTTTGTGAACCAGGGGGGTGTGTCTTTTCCAACAAACTAAAAATGGCTCGCGCACAAAATTTAAAAGCTGCAATCATATTTTGAGTTAACAGATGGAAAATTTGTCGGGTTTTTAATTACTGTACAAAATTTCAGACAATTTGGTTTAGTATAAGCCACTTAACTATTCACGCAAAGTCACAATTTTCCCGAAAAATCAGCTATTTGCATGCTTAATTAATGCATTTGCCTAATTTGTATATGTCAGCAATATGCAAATTAGGTAAAGGCATAATTAAGCATGCGAAAGGCTGACTTTTTAGAACAAAATGAATAGTTAAAGGTCATAAACTAAACCAACTTGTCTGAAATTTTGTACAGTAATTAAAAACCCGACAACTTTTCAATCTATTAACTCAAAATATGATTACAGCTTTTAAATTTTGTGCGCGAGCCATTTTTAATTTGTTGGAAAAGACACACCCCCCTGGTCGACAAAATTTGAGTTCGAGAAATTTTTTTCATTATTATACACTATAAGTACCCAAAGAAGCTATATATATAAAAAACCAGATACAAATAGGTGTTTTGCGAAATTGAGAGCAATTTCAAATCTGTTCAGTTTTTTTTATACACCCTGTATAGCGTAGAACAATGTCGGCTATGTCTCTCCTTACTACAGAAATGCCAAGGGATAAAAAGATTTTATAACACATTTTAAACGATATTTTTTATTAAATATTTGGATAATAAGACAACATCTCTATATTCCCCACAATGGCTGCAAATGGTATCTTAGTTGGTTCTAAATTTCAAAATCTTCACGGGGAGACAGCCTTGGGTTTCTCCCTCCCCCCTGACATAGCCAGATATGTAGGAGGAGGGGGGGGAGCTCAGCCACCGTTTTTAGGAGCTCAGGGCGCTGAGCCCCTTTGAGCTTTAGGAGCTCAGGTGGGTGAACCCATTAAAAAATTTATGCTGATTTAGGGGGCTGACCTCGCAATATTTTTGCAGATTGCATATTCATAACCTGGAATGTTCTTTGCAACTGTAGTGTTGAAATGATGCAGTAATGATGTTCGTAATCTGTACTTGATTACTATGAGCATACTATTAGGTCATGTATGTGGCTCCAACATGAAATAGCTTCGGTATATCGGAATCTCTTATTTGAAGTCCTTTCTTCAAAAAACACAAATTGAAGAATTACTAGAACCAAAAATAAATACTGGTAATTTCCATGTTTATCATGTTGCACCCTCCATGGCTTGTCGCCCCACCCCCTTTAAGAGCCCCCCTCCCTTGTTATCATTTCAGTGTCACACCACTGCACATTGCTGCTTACTTCTTTCAAAAAGCCACCAAACTCTAAATTTATATTTGGAACCCTGTATAATTGCCATCTACATCACACCATTACCTACGCATTCCATAGAAGGCGACTATAAAACTACACTGTTTTTAAATGTAGGCCAGAAACTACGTGGCCCAAATGCCAGAATACAAGAAGAAACCTTTCAGCGAGGTTTTTACCGGCGCAAATGAACAAGGTAGGCTCAGATAGATCAGTGATTTGAAAGATTGGCAATGTATCAAAAGAGATAGCAATGCGCTTGCAGAATTCTCGAAACCACGAGTAATTAAATTTATAGTAACTTCAAATCATTCAACAACTTAATTTTTCCATTTATACCGAAAGTTCATTGAAATATGAAATTTCCAACTCCAGCGCACAGCTCTAAATACTCTTATATATGCATATTCTAATCTTCCAGTCTCAGCTATATATGCAAATCCCTGCGCAGAACGCGTCATTTGGATGTGCAGTGGAAATTCACAATTGGCCTATTTGTACCAATCCACATTTTGTATCTTTTTAGCGATCGATTTACTTGAACAAATGCTGCTGCTTGATGCAGACAACAGGATTACAGCAGAAGCTGCACTAGATCATCCATATCTTGAAATCTATGCAGATCATGATGATGAGGTAGGTCTGGTGTGACGAAGAACCATACTGCATACACTAGGTTTCTAATTATATACAGTATATCCAATCAGTCAGATGTGACCGTTACTACCCGATTTACATTTTGGGTTATTATATGGGCTTTTCTCACGCGGGCCAATATCAGAGAATCTAGACCAGGGTTTGAGATTAGAATTTTTTTCCTGAAATCCATTGTGGATATCACCATTTCTTTTCAAAATAAAACATATCCAAGTTCTCAAAATATTTAGTTGCTATGAACTCAAAACTTCACTAAATGTAAGAGCTTTCCCATTACGTAATGATAGAGTTCAATGTTAACCGCGCACCGTTAACTACACTGAACTGACTTTCGTAATTGTCTTCATTAAACTTGTGGAGATGAAAATGATAGGATTCCAATGTTTCGACCAGGGGTGGAAAAAATAGGCGAGCATGCGAGCACTGCTCGCAGGAAATGTTAAACAGCTGCAGGAAATTCGTTTGAATGAAGATTTGCTATTGAAAATTTGAAGGAAACCTTAACACCCCATGTTCCACTATGGGCGCAACAACATATGGTTGACAGACATTATTCCTTGAATTTTAAAAACCATGGTCAGCTAGAACACTATATGTTTATGCACATGTAGATTTTGCACAAAAATACTCCGTTGGTCTGCAGGAAATGTCTGTCTCGAGGTTGTGCTCCTAGGAAGGAAATTATTTTTTCCTGCCCTGGTTGCGACATCTGGTATCCACAATTCACAACTCGTATCATCGGGATACCCAAAAATCTCGATATAGACCAGACCACCTGTATTGGTGACTCGAATCTGGTACAGACTATAGTAACCCTGCATTGTTGACTCAAATGTTGTTTTTGTTTCTAGCCTGTGTGTGAGGCGAGATTTGTTGAGCCACATTTTCAATCTGACGATATCGACTTTTGGAGAAGTATGTTCAAAATTTTACCTGATAAATAATTTTGTAGGGTTTGCAGTTCTAGGACAATTACGGAGCGGTCATTATTTATGGCGTGGGTGGGTGGCACCGAAAAGAAATGTGTTTCTTGGTAAAAAATTTTGCTGATCCAACCATTAAAAATCGTTTTTAGCCAACCTCAAATGTCAATTAAAAAATAAATACTGTACCCATATCCCTGGCCAAAAACTTTATGAAAGAATACCATTCAGTTGTCACATGTTGCTACTTTTGTGACATGAGTTTGATAATGTGAAATTATGTAGTAAATTACTTTCTTTGGAGACACCATTTGCCTCCTGACAAATCGGAAAATGATCAAAATAGTGACTCTGATTCATTTACATATGACTGTTGACATTGCGTTTTAGTTTTCAATATTTGAAGTGAGTCAGGCTTTCGAAATGACAATAAATTTTTATTCCCCAACCCTTTGCATTGTTTTGTTTTTCATTTACCCAACCTTTTACTCACTAAAATATTCCATTTCATTTACCAACCCTTTTCCTTTCGGTGCCCCTCCCATAAATAATGATGACCGGTCCCTTAGTCACATTACAAATAGATTTTGTTTTTTTTTCTGTTGGTGTTTTTTTTCTGTGTTGGTGGTGGTATTTTTTCTGTGTTGGTGTTTGTTTTCTGTGTTGGTATTTTGTTATTTGCATGTTGTAACACTACTAATACTATAAAACTTTGTTTTACTTCACAGAGCTAACATTTGATGAGATTATTGATTATCGATCTTCAACTTCAAGTTCAAGGCAGGCAGCAGAAGCAATGCCAATGGAGACATGAAAAACAAAATTTCCTGCAATGAACAAGCCCTGAAGAGCCGGTCCTCCACGTGGCAGAATTAGTGTGATAAACGTCTCAGCCGGCATGGATAAATTTTTGTATAAATCAAAGTACTTTGATTAGGGCCTGCCAAATGACGATGTTATCATATTATGTTGAACATTACGTTATAATGAATGTTTTAAATTTGATTTATGAGAACTGTATTGGATAATTGTTTGCACTGATGACCAATGTAAAGCAATGATAGCCTAACTGGGTAGATAGTTGACTGCCTTGTATATGTTTGCAATAAATATGGACATACTTTATATATAATTATGTAACTACTATAATTCTTTAATTTCTATTTAAGTTAATTTTATGAACCTGGGTATAATGATGTAGCATAAAAGGGTTAAGATTTCCAGTGATAGAATATACCTGTAAGTATCATTTTTGGATTTTGAAATAACCTTGTCGATCTCAATGAAATTGTTTTGAGAAAATAAAGTTAAAGTGTGCTGATTTAATTCGTTCCCAGTTATTTCGATCTTTATTTACTATTTCGCATAGTGAAATGAATGTAACTGGAAAGCTACCTTCCGAAAAACGGTACGCCTGTAAAGTCCTTGAATAAATGCATTAACAGAAAGCTTTGAGAGCTGTTAAAAAAGCTATTATTATAAATTTTAAATTAAACCGGTCTTCAAGAATACATATTCACGGACTGACCGCGCTCTTCGCAAAGTAAAAAGACTGGGACTCAGGGCCGTAGGTTGACCGATAATTCGGGGAGCGAATATTCATATATTCGTGTTCTGCCCAACGGATTTATTTTGAAAGCGATTGTTTTTACTGTATGTGAACATGAATATATGAATATACCCCCCCCCCCCATTATCGCGTCTAGCTACGGCCTGCTGGGACTGCCTTTCAAGTTTGGCTTCAAATTTCCGGTTTGAGGTAGCGTTCCAGTTATATTCGTTTCACTGATAATTTAAATAATTACACGAATCTGCAGTGTTTTGTGTCAGTGGTTACTTTGGCTCATAGCTGCACGGTACTTCATGAGACACTTAATGATATAACGTTTTGAAAGTGCTTGCCACCATCTTCTGTTGCTTCCTTTTACGAAACCAGACGGAATTATGATTCCCGACAAAACCTTCGAACTTGTTGAATATGAAGATTGCAACAGTCTCCATATTATATACAACAGTATGGCTTACAAACCTGATGTCAATGTTGAGCCTGTTGATCATGTCAGCCTCTTCCAGTGTTGTATGCTAAGCGAGGTCTTACGTTGTTTTACATTAAGTCCGTATCAAAATCATAATCCTCATCACCACTGTCCACCATTTTCTCCTTAACTGGTACAGACGGTTGAGCTAAAAAATTACAAAAAAAATAAATGAAAAATACACTAGGTTATCATATTCCAGTTATCATTTTCCCTCGCAGCTAGGTTATCATTTCAGTTAAAATAAAATCGATGGCGTGCGAAAGTGAAATTGATGAACTTTCCGAATCCTTAAACCACTTGAGGGAATCTTTCCTGCATTAACAAACAAAAACAAAGCAAATCAATTTGCAACATACCACTTTTCCTCTGTTCTTTTTGCTTTCGTTTAAATTCCTATAACAAAATGTTTATTTTTATTTCTTAACTTTACAAATGGTCTGTGCCAGTATAGATAGAGACGATAATAAGAAAAGATAGAAAGAATATAGAGATTGTGAGAGATCCAAGTCCATGAAAAGTACAAACAGTATACTTCGGAAGTTCTGGATAAATATCGAGATTTTTTGGCTCGATAGAGCATTTGCACTCATTCCCCAGGGACCAACTCAACAAAAGGCATGGCGGTCATGTTGGTGTTCTAGACAAAAGAGTCTAATTAAAATTCTTTTGAATTAGAACACCACGATGGCGGCTGTGACGTCATGTGCAAACGCTCTAAAGAACTAACAGTTGAAGTTTTTTGTGATTGCAAAATTCTATCTGCAAAATCCCCCCAACTTTCAGAATTTGTCTTCAAATCCGCATTTATTCTTACTAACTTTACAACCTGTTATCTAAACAAATATAGATTGATTAACATTAAGAATTCAACACAAATGGAGATAAATATCGTAAGGTTGAAGGTATGGTCAATATAAGAACATATAAAACCAACCACACACAAAGACACTAACAAGATAGGACTACAGTATGCCTAAGGACACAAACACGCAATTATTTAACATACTGATACAACAAATACGAACATGAAAAGTGCATAAACATAACCCTCAAGAACAACAACTTGGGTTGTATTGAACGACTTTTTAACAATAACACTTCTAATGAAGACAATATCATTCATTACACAAAGGTTGCATCGTTTCAACAATGGCTTGATTTATACGCATGATCTTTCCTTACCTTTTTCTGTGATTTGTTTGTCTGCTGGTTAAATTCATTTGCCTCATTCGTTTTTGTCGCCTTTGATTGTAGCTGTTCAGATGTTTTATTGGGCACAACGACAGTCATATCAGAATTATCCTAAACACAAGATAAGGCTGGTACCTTTACACTATTAAAGTTTCTGATAGTAGAAATTTTGCATATGTAAGTTTTGAAGGACTTGTAAGAAATGTTTGCATAAGGAAACTGACTCATTCATACAAATTCTTCAAAATCCATGCAAAATTCCAACCGTGATCACAGATTGAAACTTTGATACTAGTACTGTACATCTATTTGTATATACACAAACATAGATGTACAGATAGCAGAAATGAATAAAATTGAAACCAGCTATCAAAACTTGAGGTCGAACACGGGCGAATCTTGGCCCATCTTTTAAATTGCTTATGTCTCAAAGGAAGGGCTCTTTAAACCAGACGATGCACCAAAATTACAATTTGCATAATGAAACACGTATTTCAACACATATTTTTTTCTGTTGCTTTATTGGCCTGTTTGTATTATGTTAGTTCAAGCTCGCTCGATAAAAAAGACCGCATTCGCTTCGGAAAAGACTTTTCCCATGGCTACAGTAGAATTATAATTGCAGTAACAGTCTTTTGGTGAAATTGGTGGAGTAAAAAGCAGAGTGATTGAGTATATAATTATAAAGTGTGTATATCCCAGATACGGGGAAAAAGACTATCCCTAGATCCGACAATAACCTGCTCATTCCCTGGCATCTCACCTTGTCATCTTCATCCTCCATATCTTCAAGTTCATCGTCATCACCATCACTGCCTTCCTCCTCGGCCTCCGAGTCGTCCTAAATAATACAAACACCAACGATAAATGCAAACTTTTCCTCACAATAAACGTTAAGTGAGCTGTGTGGTGTTGGATAGGAAGATGTCGAGGAGACTCAAATTGAAGATATACGGCACAGTGGTGAGACCTGTTATAAGGCAGCACTCATTACTTATTGGGGGGGGGGGGGGGGGGGTGGCACCGAAGAGAAATGTTTTTCTGAAATGTGATCCAACCATTAAAAAGGCAAAAAATGTACCCAACCTCAAATATCGATTAAAGAAATACCCACACATGCATGGCCAAAAACTTTACAAAACGATACCATTCAGTTGTCACACATGTCCTTTACCACTCTGTGACACGAGTTTGATAACTGCTTGTGCAATTCTCTGTAGACTAAAGTTTCATGTTGTCTGCACATGTACCTACTTTCGAGACACCATTTGCTTCCTGATAAATCGGAAAATGATAGATAATGGCTCTAATTGATTTAAGCGGTGTGCTGAAGTTTCAAGGACCTTCAAGGAATGCAGCTTGAATAGCAGGAGGCATGCCTTGAATAGAGTAACAATGCAATAAAACCTGGAGAAAAACCGCAAAGCACAACAGAGAACCAACCACAACTTGTCTTAACCAAGTTTTAAAAGTGCACATAATTGGTGTTGGGTAGTCACCCACCCCTAAGTAATATCCCACCCCTGATCCCCTGATCGACAGCAGAAAGCGTAAATCAATGACAAAGAACAGCATGCTAACTGTATCTGCTATACATGCTTTTATAAGAACAGTTAAAGATTTTGCAACAACAGCAAGTGACAACCCTTCAATTGTCCATTTGACTGTGGTACCATATAAAGTATAAATGTGCTTATTTGTATAGCCCCAGCAAGTTAACGTTGTATAGAACGTCTTATTATAAAGTGTTTCGAGTCATTTTAAAACTTGATGTTACTAAAAACTTACCATCTCGTCATCAAGATGAGCGTCTGATGGTTTACTTGAGGTCAATATCATAGCATTTTCAATTGACTGGGTGAGTTCTTTCATGTCTATAACAAAAAAGTGATATGCAGGTTACAGATTACAGGTTGGTGATTGCAGGTTACAGGTTACAGGTTGTTTTTTTAACAGATGAGTCATCGATAACATCAAGACCAAATCAGACCAAGGCATAGAAATTCCATATCAAGATTTTGTTGTCATCTCGTTTGATTGAATAATAGTTAAAGGGTTTGTAGATGGAAATTTCGAGTGTGAATTTTATACATTCAATTAGACCTAACCAGGAACAGTTGCGAAAAATGCAACTGCAGTATAGCCCCTCTGGCAGACATCAAACCTGCGGCCCTGCAATAAACCTTTCCCCTTTTAAGTGAAATTTTGATCTAGACAAGCCTGGACAAAAATTTCATCACAGCTTGAAAGAGCATCACAAAATTAGTAATATTCCGAAGTTTCGTTGCGAAATGTTGTAAAATAAGGATAATATAACCCTGCGAAGTTTGCCGTTTTTCACTCATTTGGTATTACAAACGGGAAATTGATAATCAGATGATCAGTTTGATTATCAATTTCCCGTTTGTAATGCAAATTGACTGAAAAACGGCAAACTTCGCAAGGCTATATTATCCTTATTTTACAACATTTCGCAACGAAACTTCGGAATATTACTAATTTTGTGATGCTCTTTCAAGCTGTGATGAAATTTTTGTCCAGACTTGTCTAGATCAAAATTTCACTTAAAAGGGGAAAGGTCTACTGCAATTCCAGTACAGCGCTCCACCAAACTGAGCTACAGAGGCCAGTTGTCGAGCTCTAACCACAAGTTCATGTATATATACTAGGGTAATGCCATGTAGCGGAATGGGTAAATATCAAGATTTTGTTCGCATCTCACTCGATTGAATAAATAGTTGAAGAGTTTTGTAGATGGAAATTATCCTTCATAGAAAGTATAGAACCCTTCATAGAAATTCCATTCAGTTCTGGACTTGGTTATCCATAGAGCTTATAATCAGGTTTTAATTGATAGCATCGTATGACAAACATAAAGAAAGATGGTTGGCTAATAATCATGTCTTTTAATGAGAGACATCTACTTACTTTTCATTTCCTCGTTTTCCTCCTTTTCCAAGCTTGCCTGAAACAAAATTATCGTTTTATCAGGTGGGTAATTGGAAATAGTGACGAAATAGTGATTTTTGGCTTCTTGGCTATAACATCCCAAACATCCACACAAGAAAGATTCCTTCCGAAATCTGACCTCCGAAAAATTCATTAATAATAATTTATGAGAAAAAGACACAAAAGAAATCACTACCGTGTCGGTGGTTTTATATGTGATAAACAGAACATGTTCATTTGGATAAACGTTAGCTTTGATTTTCTCGGCTTAGACATGATGGAGCACTGATCTTATCATTTAAGGTGAAACTTAAATGATATATAAATAGCAACGTTTCTTTCTGGTGTGACATTTTGAATCTACTGCTAGCCGAACTTGTGCAGTTTTCTAAATTGAAAACCAGTATTGAAGATTCAAGTGTTTCGCTCTTTCAACAGACTTGAATAAAAGAAAGAAATTTCCAGTTTGATTTGAGGCCAAGGGTATATAATTTTATTCGAATTCATCACTCCTTACAGTTTATAGTCATGACCATATAATACCAAACTATAATTATATAATTTGAGATAATCAATTTATATATTTCGAAACGAAATCATGTCTTAATGTCAATTATATGTGCTATTAAGAAACGCTACGGACTTTACTAGAATTTTGTACATTCTCTGAATATATTCAACTGATCTATTGTTATTAAGATGTGATTCAGAATGAAGCACGATGATTACTTAACAATTATTCGCCGAAGGCGAGGTGATTATCGGTGAATAAAAACCGAGACGAAGTCGAGGTTTTTATTCACGATAATCACCGAGCCTGAGGTGAATAATTGTTTTAGTATAATTTCATAGGTGATTATTTAGAAAAAAATAAAAAATAGACATTTCTTCGTCATTTAATTTGACAAAACGGCTTCGGCTGCCATTTTGAAAATCGCTTAGGTGATTATCGCGTAATAATCACCTCAATGGCAACCAATCAGCGTGGAGAATTTTCAATAATCACCTATGTAATTATACTAAAATGTATTGAAACAGGTCACAACGCACATAGACTTTTAAGTGAAACTTGTAATAGTTTAACAAAATTAATGACTACATTGACTGCCTATTGCTCAGTCCAGTTACAAATATGATGCCATATTTCCGAATCATAAACCTCAACATATTTTAATATATCAAAATCATCCCCACTCCCAATCCAGCAAAGCTGATCCATGTAAGCAGGCGCGAAAGCGTAATCTAATTATAAATATCTTAAGATTGTCAAAATGTCCAATTTATAAATATTTCCGTGTGGAAGGTAAAACTTCAGCAACTGCTCTGAACCTTGGTTTGTTCATGGCAGGAAGATACTCCCATGTAGAGCTGCCCATTGTAAAACACTCCACTGAACTGAGATATGGACGTTTCTCATTACTACCTGCCATCACGACAATGGTATTTCCATTTCCTGTAGGTTTACCAGATGTTTTGTCCTCCTAAAATCAGCACTTTATCTTCAAATACCTCAGCGCCATGATATCCTCGTGGTTTAGGCATTTGACACAACTCTTTCATAATACAAGGTGAAGTAAGTTGCAATTCACTAATTACGTTGGAGTGTTCGCCTTCATCATAATTGTATCCACCAATGTGAACAACACTCTGCTGGTAAACAACAGTTTGATGTCCATCCCACGCATGTGGCAGTTCTCCAGGAAATCGGGTCCATTTCAAAGGTAATTCATTGAGATTCAAGGTCTCCATTATCTTACTAAGTTGTCCTCCCATAACAAATAACTGATCTTCATAGATAAATGATGAACCTTGTGCATGATTTCCATTCATTGGCGACACCTCAAACCAACCATTTTTCGCCCAGGAATAGACTTCCGCACTTGTGCCAGAAATACTCCAAGGTCTTCCAGATCCACCTGCAATCAAAATATCTTCTCTTGGTGTGTTCAACATTCCCTCAGTCGGAGATGGCAGTTTGTTCAGCAGTTCAAGTATATTTAATTTTTCTAACATTTGAGTCATCATGACTTTGACTTCGTCCACGTCTTTGTTTACTTTGGAAAGATTATCTTTTATATCTTTGACTTCTTTCTTAACTTCCCGGATTTCGTTCTTAGTTTGTCCACTTGATGCTTCCACTTTTTCATTAATTTCATCCACTTTTCCATTCATCTTCTTATTCAATTCCGTCAGCACTTCCACCTTGCCATTCAATATCCCCACATCTTCCTGTATCTGTCCACAGTCATGACATTTCACTTTCCTATACTCACAAACTTCGGTCTCATGATGGACCTTATCTTGCTTGTTAATCTCCATACCACACTCTGCATTTGAACACAACACAACACAGGTGTATAGCCACAATTCCCCACATGAGTTTTGAGATCTTCAAGACAGGTAAACTGAGGGCACCCTCGACTGGCATGATCACAATTTATCTTTAATTTAGACAAATAATTGTTCACCACGCGTGGCTGACGAAGCGTATCGACGCTCAAATGTTCGTTACAATCAGGACAAGTTTGAGAATTCACCTTTAGATGTTGAGTGATGCAGGCAAGACAAAAGATGTGATCATTATTCCTACACGTCCTTGGTTCTTTAAGAACATTGTAGCAGATAGAACAATGAAAATTTTCGTCGACATCTTTCTCAAATCGACAATTTTCGTAGCCATATTTCTCTTCTGTCGGGCAACAAGCCATTCATTAAAGCTCATAGAAACATTGCAACACAAAGATTCGATATCAATGATCTTTCTTTACAAGGTTTGTATCACATTGTAAAGGAAATAAATCGAGAGCAAGACAGAAGCGAAGTTTCGAAATACTTCCGCCTTCGCTTGGGTTTGATTTCGCAATAACAAAACATTGATTATTCAAAATATTTGGAAATATGAATATCATTTGCATATGAATATCAAATGCAGTTTTATATTAAATCCATAAAATCTAGATGAAGTTCCTATTGAACAATTTAGTAAATCAGTACTAATTCTACTAAAGATACACGCAATTATATGTTTTCAATTGTGAATTGAATTATTCAACAAACTATAAGCAGAGCTTGCCGAAATGCGGAACCTTACAAATTAATCTGGTTTCATGTGTCTGGTGTAAATTGCTCCGAATTCTTACTGTTCCGTGTAACGAGAGCCTAAGAATCTTGCCGACTCGTATTTAAACGCTTACACGGATTGTTAGGATTTATTAACGACGTATAGTGGACGTGATCCCATGTAGTATGTTGTATATAGACGTTACTGTTTCTCTATATTGAAATTTGACTAGTGTAACTTGTCTATAAATTCTAATCAATTAAAATTATTAATACTGTGATTAGTCTGTGAATGGGTAAGATGGTTGAGTAACATCGCTCTTGAATTGAAACACTGCATTAGCAGATTGGAACTCAGATGCAAAGGCGTGGGCAGGTTTTCCAGTTAATTAAGGAAAAAGAGTAAAATAATAGAAGTCAAAGCCTCTCAATTCAGCCTACTCTAAAGTTTGGTCACTGATTAAGGTTACAAAAGAGCTTTAACGCATTAAATAGAAGTTATTATGCATCAGTAGCGCAGGAACGTTTCCTTGAAAAGTGAAATGTTTTATACAGCCTATAGCATTTTCTATATGTATTGTTTTATAGACCGGAACTATTGGAAACATCCAGGCACTATATTAATCCATAAAGTATAGTCGGTTAATCTGTTATCTGTAGGCTTGCTGAAAAATGCTTTCTTGACAAATTTTAGACCCTCATATTGCATTTTTTATGTTTTGGAGAACATAGTTACTTTGGTTATTAATGATATTGTCTATCAAAAGCATTCAGTGCTAGAGGAATGCTTTCTTGAAAAACTAAATTTTAGCGCCTGCCGATCGTGAAGAACGGGGATTCAATCCTATTTTCCCAGCCAAAATTTTGTCTGAAACACACTTACTGTACCCGTCCCCGTAATTGCCAACATCTCATTCGAAGCAAAAATTGCTGGTGCAAATCCCATCCTGTGATGCACATCCCATGTTCCCAGTAAAAATTAGGCAAATCCATGCAGCTCGCATTTTACCTTTTCACGACTCTCAACAAAGAAAAGAACCCAACGACTCACTCATACGTGACCTCTAGAGACTATAGTGAACATGCTTTTAGAACTCGAGAAATCTCGAAGATTTGTTTAGAAATTTGCCTTCTTGGCTGACATCCAAAACATCCATTCAAGAAAGACTCTTTCTGAAATCTGACACAATAAAATCTCATATATTCCTAATATATACGAACAAAAAATTTCCTCATTTTTTATCAATTATACAAAATTAATATATGTTCTGCATGGAAAAGATTATCTCTCAAATTTTGAAAGCTTGAAATTTTAGATTAAGTTTGATTCTCATCTTTAGCAGACTGCAGTGTCAAGGACAGCAGATGGAACTTAAATTATTGAAAGACAGGGCTTTTTCTGGTATATTTTGAATCGGGTAGTCAAACTTGTGCAGTTTTTTAGATAAAACAGTAGTCTTGACAATTCAAAATATTTCGCTATTGTCGGTTAGTGTTGAATAAATTAGCGAAACTTGAGTAGTTCGATTAGAGATATAGGTATATAAATTTATTAATCCATTACAACTTACAGTCGAGACTACGTATCACGAGCTTATAATTATATAATTTGAGATACAGTGATCAATTGATACGATCTAAAACGAAATCATGCCAGCCAAATGGTAAAGTCAATTATATGTCTCCAAATTTTCGATCGCATTAAGAAACGCTATAGGCATGCAGCAGGATGATTTAAATATATTAAAATAGGTCAAACATGAAGAACTGGAATGTTACTGATCAAACCTGTAGTTCAACAAAATTATTATGACTACTTTGACAGCCTTTTGTTTAGCCCAGTTACAAATATGATGCCACATTTCTGAATCTTAACATATTTCAATACCTTAACATATTTCAATACACCAAAATCAATCAAGTTACACATATTTCCGTGTGGAAGGTAAAACTTCAGCAATTGCTTTGGATCTTGGTTTGTTCATTGCAGGAAGAAACTCCCATGTAGAGCTGCCCATTGTAAAACACTCCACTGAACTGAGATATTCACGTTTCTCATTCTCACCTCCCATGACGACAATGGTATTTCCAGTAATAACTGCACAACAACCATCTCTCTTCCCCAACATGGATGGTAAGGTTGTGGTCTTGCCTGTCTTGGAGTCGTACATGAAAACATCATCCAGAACTTGGCTATCCTCGTTACGACCTCCAAGCACAACTACTTCATCTCCACAGCGAACTGTCGCCATTCCGGTTAAAGGAAACGGTAACTTTGGCATCTCTTTACATTCCTTCTTTTTCAGATCAAACTTTAATACACAGTCTAAAGTATTACCATAGTTATGTCCTCCTAAAATCAGCACTTTATCTTCAAATACCTCAGCGCCATGACCATTTCGTGGTTCAGGCATTTGACATAACTCTTTCATAATGTAAGGTGAAGTAAGATGCAATTCACTAATCTCGTTAGACCATCCTTTGCCATATTGAAATCCACCAATGCGAATGACACTCTGCTGGCAAACAACAGTTTGATGATCATCACACTGATAGGGCAGTTTTCGACGGGATTTCGTCCATTTCAAAGGTAATTCATTGAGAATCAAGGTCTCTATTGTCTTACTTTCTTCTCCCCCCACAACAAATAACTGATCTTTATAGATAAATGATGAAGCTCCTTTATGGTCTTCATTCATTGACGACACCTCAAACCAACAATTTTTCTCCCAGGAATAGATTTCCGTGCTTTTGCCAAATTTGCTCGAAAGCCCTCCATATCCACCTGCAATCAAAATGTCTTCCCTTGGAGTGTTCAACATTCCCTGAGTCAGAGATGACAGTTTGTTTAGCAGTTCAAGCATATTTAATTTCTCTACCACTTGAGTTATCATGACTTTGACTTCGTCCACGTCTTTGTTTACTTTGGAAAGATTGTCTTTCATATCTTTGACTTCTTTCTTAACTTCCCTGATTTCTTTCTTCGTTTGCTCACTTGCTGCTTCCACTTTTTCGTTCATTTCCTTATTCATTTCCTTCACTGCTTCCACTTTTTCGTTCATGTTCTCTATTCCCTTCACTGCTTGTCCTACTTTCCCACCCAGTTCCACCAAACTCCCTTCCACTCTTCCCACAGCTTCCTGTATCTGCCCACAGTCATGACATTTCACTTTCCCATATTCACAATCTTCAGTCTCGTGATGGACTTTATCTTGCCTGTTAATCTCCATACCACACTCTGCATTTGAACACAACACAGGTGCATAGCCACAATTCTCAACGTGAGTTTTGAGATCTTCAAGACAGGTGAACTGAGGGCATCCCCGACTGGCATGATCGCAATTTATCTTTAGTTTAGACAAATAATTGTTCAACACACGAGGTCGACGAAGCGTGTCTACGCTCAAATGCTCATTACATTCAGGACAAGTTTGAGAATTTACCTTTAGATGTTGAGTGATGCAGGCAAGACAAAAAATGTGATCATTGTTCCGACACGTCCTTGGTTCTTTAAGAACATTATAGCAGATAGAACAATGAAAATTTTCGTCGACATCTTTTTCAAATCGACAGTCTTCGTAGCCATATTTCTCTTCTGTCGGGCAGCATGCCATTCATTACAGCTCATTGAAACATTGCGTCACCTTCTAGTTAAAGATTCGATACCAATGATCTTTCTTTACCAGGTTTGTCTCACATTGTAAAGGAAATAAATCGAGAGCAAAAAACAGACTTCCGCCTTCGCTTTGGATCGATTTTGCAATAACAACACCTTGATTATTCAAAATACTTGGAAATATGAATGCGATAATGAAAGGTCACGGCATGAATTTCCGGCGCACTAAAACATGCATTTAATTTAACCGAAATCCATAATTTAATGATAGTTAAAACCTAGTTGAAACTCCTATTCAACAATTTAGTAAATCCGTACTAATTCTACTGAAGATACATACAACTATATACTATCAATTTTGAATTATTTGACAAATTACAACCAGTTCAAGTTGGTATAAAGCTACAAGTGATCACGCAGATGGTATCGTACAAATGCCGAAATGCGGAACTTTGCAAATTAAATTGGTTTCATGTGTCACGTGTAAACCAGCTACAAATCCGTACAGTTCCGTGCAAAGAGAGCCTGAGAGACTTGTCAAATAGAGTTATAATCAGTAGAACAGGAACGTTTCCCTGAGAAATAAAACGTCCAATAGAATCTATAGCATTTTCTATGCTTTATAGACCATTCAGCGAAACTTATTGAAAACATTCAGGGAACATGATATTAATGCATAAAATATAGTGCAGTTAATCTGATATCTGTAGCGCTGCAGACCCTATTGAAAACATTCAGTGTTGAATGCATTACATATGTTACAGTCAATCAGTATAGTGAAACTGAGGAATGCTTCCTTGAAAAACAAAATTTTTCCCAGCCAAAATTTTGTCTGAAATCCAGTAATCCATCGCCATGATTGCCACATCTCATTCCAAGCAACAAAATTGCTTGTGCGCAGGGGCGGATACAGCGTTTTGGATGACAGGTTTACTAGGTCCACACAACCACTAGGGGGGGAGGGTCCGGGGGCATGCACCCCGGGAAATTTTTAAAATTCGGGCCTCTTAAACAGCATTTCCTGCGTTCTGGCGTCACCTTTTAAATTAATTTAATGGTTAGAAAATACATGTTTTTAAGAGAATTTTGGACTAATATACGCAGCTCAAACAATGAATTGAACCTTTTCGGAAACTTATTAGCTGGTGATAAAAATATAGGACTGGCAAATTGCTGACGCATTGATATTTATTATAACTACAACAAGTAGAGACGCTTTTAATATAAACGTAGTTGTAATTTTAGATCTATACGCTTTCAAACCAACCGCTTTAACAATGAAATAGAAACCAAACTGCAAGATCCAGAGCGTGAAAGCTTTACAATTATTTCCTGATTCTCGAGTCGCAAACGCAATGATTCGGTCACGCAATATTATAAGAATATATATACACATATTTCGCGCTATCATGACTGTGTAGACTGTGTAGAAGTTACACGTATAAACATCGATACGCTTGTTGACGGATCGATATTTATTATACACTAAGTAGAAATAGCTTACAGTTATAACTTTAGGCTATATACTTTTAAACAAACCTTCAAAATGAACAAGAAATCCATGTAAATGCTTCTATCGCCAACGCAATTTTTAGTCACGCAAAATTATAAACACATTTCGCGCGTCCTCGAGTTCTGTTAACTTTCATTCCCAGTTTTCTCTAAATACTGCTCGACTCACAGGTTTATGACCGGTTTACATCCGTCGGAGGGCAGCCGTTCAGCCAATCGAATGTCATCGAATGGCGTATCGACCGGTTTACTCTCATTGAGAAAACTCTGACCACCGGTTTATGGAGGGTGATTACCGCCAAAATTGATGTTTGAATTTTGCATTCCAAGTTCTAGATTTTGTTGTTCGTTCCGTGCTTTTTGATATCAATGAATTGAATTTTGATATTAAAGAATTGAATTTTGATGTTCGCAATTGCATTTGCACTTCTGTTTGCGCATTTTGTCCTTAATCATTCCATTGTGATGACGTAACATTATGCGTGACCCTCAGAACACAATTTTCAACTCGATTTAATGATAATTTATTTCCCGCAAAAATTTTAATTATCTCTAATTATTCCAACATTGTTACTTCGGCTGTTCAGCATACGGATAAAATGGCTGAGAACCGTTCAAAATCACAAGAAGTAGCAACTTTTAATATTACGCCGTGCAGCAAGCAGTTTAACGCACAATTCTGCTGAAAGTGAAGGATGCTGTGCAAGGAACAGCAATATGGGAAATACAGTGCGTCCAATTGAATTCAACCTGCTCTAAGTCAACAAGCCACAACCTCTAGTCACGATGAATTTCGGCGACTATTCTCCCTGTACAATAGGGCTAACAATAGCAGCCTCGTTCATCAACCTCCGGCGAAGCGCGGTCGAGGTAATTCTTGGGGACAAACGCGTTCTTTTAAGCCACAAGATACGTGGACACACGATTTTTCGGTTTGGCACAAGTAGCTCGCTGAATTAACTCGTATTAAAATAATGCACTTTAAGATGTGAAATGTATGAAGTAAATCTTGATGTGAAATTGTGAATACGCTGAATACGATTATTTACAAATACAAACTCTCCACTTCTAAAAACATCAGCAAAAACACTTCTTTAGATCGAGTATGAAACGCCCAGCAAGCGTCTTGTTTACTGTAAATTTATATGTATGATCATATTTAATACATGTAGGTAACATTAAAATTTTTGCGGGAAATAAATTATCATTAAATCGAGTTGAAAATTGTGTTCTGAGGGTCACGCATAATGTTACGTCATCACAATGGAATGCTTAAGGACAAAATGCGCAAACAGAAGTGCAAATGCAATTGCGAACATCAAAATTCAATTCTTTAATATCAAAATTCAATTCATTGATATCAAAAAGCACGGAACGAACAACAAAATCTAGAACTTGGAATGCAAAATTCAAATATTAATTTTGGCGGTAATCACCCTCCATACTAGCCTGTGCACAGCCTGTATTACTCTGTAGTACAGAGTAATACAGGCTGTGCACAGGCTACCTCCATACCGGTTTACTCATAATTGCGGGCGGTTATGTGTGATTCTGTCCACGACCCACGACGATACATTAGCAGATTATTTGTGTAGTATTACAACATTTCGTAACAGGACACCAACGCGATAAGTCCTTAATTAATTAAATGCTTATTATGTAAGTGGGTCTAAATACGCTCGGTAATCCAGAATCAAATTTCAATAAGAGTATTTAAATTAGACAACATCAAGTTTATGAAACAGAATATTCTTTAAATTAGTTATATATGTACATGGAAGGTTATAGATTTTCTTTCTTTGGAAAATCTGACAGGTTTATATAAACCTGTCAAACCTGTCTGAATCCGCCCCTGCGGCGGCACGAATCCCAGTGCCTGTGATCTAAATCCCATGTTCACAGTGAAAATTAGGCAAATCCATGCAGCTCACATTTTACTGATCTTTTCACGACTCTCGACAAAGAAAAGAACCCAATGACTCGTACGTGACTTCTAGAGCAACATGACTATAGTGAAACATGTTTTGAGGACTCGAGAAATCTCGAAGATTTGTTTTACAATTTGCCTTCTTAGCTACCACACGAAAGATTCACTCAAGAAAGATTCTTTCTGAAATCTGACACGATAAAATCTGCTATATACCCTGAAATCTGACACGATAAAATCTGCTATATACCTAATATACGAACAAAAATTCCTATTATTTATAAATTATACAAAATTAAGGTTCTGCCTGGAAAAACTTTTTTCTCTAAGTTTAAAAGCTTGAAATTTCAGATTAGATTTGATTCTCATCTTTAGCAGACTGTTTCAAGGACAGCAACGGATTGTTCAATAATTGAAGGTGAAACTAAAATGACTGAAAGACAAGGTTTTTTCTGGGGTGATGTTTTGAATCGGGTAGCCGAACTTGTGCAGTTTTTCGATAGAACAGCAGTCTTGACGATTCAAAATATTTCGCTTTTGTCGGTTAGAGTTGAATAAATGAGCGAAATTTCCATAGTTCGATTAGAGAGCTAAGGTATATAATTTTATTAATCCCTTACAAATTACAGTCATTACTACTTATTACGGGACTATAATTATATAATTTGAGATAATCAAATGATACGATTTGAAACGAAATCATGCCAGTCAAATGTCTAAAAGTCAGTTATATGTCCCAAAATTTGCGATCATATTAAGAAACGCTATGAACTTTACTAAAATTTATGAGATTCAAGATGAAGCAAGTTGATTTGAATATATTAAAATAGGTCACATGCAACGTTTACAACATCAAGAGTTGGTATGCTACTGCATGAGCAAACCTGTAGTTTAACAAAATTATTGTGACTACTTTGACTGACTTCTACTCAGTCCAGTTACAAATATGATGCCATATTTCTGAATGATAAACTGCAACAAATTTCAATATATTCAAAAATCATTCCTTCTCTCAACCCAGCAAAGCTAAAGCATGTAAGCAGGTCCGTAAACGTAATCTAATTATGAATAAACGTCTTATGATTGTCAAAACATCCAATTTACACATATTTTCGTGTGGAAGGTAAAACTTCAGCAACTGCTGTGGATCTTGGTTTGTTCATGGCAGAAAGATACTCCCATGTAGAGCTGCCCATTGTAAAACACTCCACTGAACTGAGATATTCACGTTTCTCATTCCTACCTGCCATCACGACAATGGTATTTCCAGTAATAACTGCACAACATCCATCTCTCTTCTCTAACATGGATGGTAAGGCTGTAATCTTGCCTGTTTTGGAGTTGTACATGAAGACACCATTCAGAACTTCATCATTCTTATCACGACCTCCAAGCACAACCACTTCATCTCTCCAGCGAACTGTCGCCATTTTCGTCAAAGGAAACGGTCATTTTGGCATCTCTTTACATTCATTCCTTTTCGGATCGAACTTCAATACACTGTCTGTAGTCTGATCACAGTTATGTCCTCCTAAAATCAGCAATTTATCTTCAACTACCTCAGCGCCATGACATTCTCGTGGTTCAGGCATTTGACACAACTCTTTCATAATGCAAGGTGAAGTAGTGAGTTGCAATTCACTTATCTCGTTCGAATATTTGCCTTGGCCCCACTTATATCCACCAATGTGAATGATACCCTGCTGGTAAACGACAGTTTGATGATCACCGCACGCATAAGGCAGTTCTCCATGAAATTTCCTCCATTTCGAAGGTAATTCATTGACATCCAAGGTCTCTATGGCGTTACTATATTCGCCCCCAACAACAAAGAACTGATCTTTATAAATAAATGATGAAGCTCCTTCATGGTCTTCATTCATTGGTGAGACGTCAACCCAACCATTTTTCTCCCAGGAATAGACTTCCGTACTTTTGCCAGGTTCATTACAAGGTCCTCCATATCCGCCTGCAATCAAAATATCCTCTCTTGGTCTGTTCAACATTCCCTCAGTCGGAGACGGTAGTTTGTTATGCAGTTCAAGCATATTTAACTTCTTCAACATTTGAATCATCATGACTTTCACTTCGTCCACGTCTTTATTTACTTTGGAAAGATTGTCCTTTATATCTTTGACTTCTTTCTTAACTTCTCCAATTTCTTTCTTCGTTTGTCTATTTGCTGCTTCCACTTTCTTGTCCATCTTTTTTTTATTTCCTTCACTGCTTCCACTTTTTCGTCTGTGTTCTTTATTCCCTTGACTGCTTGTTCCACTTTCCCATTCAGTTCTATTAAACTTCCTTTCAATATTCCCACAGATTCTTGTATCTGCCCACAGTCATGACATTTCACTTTTCTATAATCACAAACTTCAGTCTCATGATGGACCTTATCTTGCTTGTTAATTTCCATACCACACTCTGCATTTGAACACAACACAGGTGCATAGCCACAATCTGCAACATGAAGTTTGAGTTGTTCAAGACAGGTAAACTGAGGGCACCCTCGACTGGCATGATCACAAGTTATCTTTAGTTTAGACAAATAATTGTTCAACACACGCGGCCGACGAAGCGTATCGACGCTCAAATGATCATTACATTCAGGACAAGTTTGAGAGTTCACTTTTAAATGCTGAGTGATGCAGGCAAGACAAAAGATGTGATCATTATTCCTACACGTCCTTGGTTCTTTAAGAACATTGTAGCAGATAGAACAATGAAAATTTTCGTCGAAGTCTTTCTCAAATCGACAATCTTCGTAGCCATATTTCTCTTCTGTCGGGCAACAAGCCATTCTTTACAGCTCATAGAAATATTGCTCTACTTTGTATTTAAAGATTGGATACCAATAATCTTTCTTTACGAGATTTATTTCACATTGTAAAGCAAATAAATCGAGAGCAAGAGACATGCGAGATTTTGAAACACTTCCGTCTTCGCTTTGGCTTTGTTTTGCAATAAAAAATCTTTATGACATTTTAAAGTTTCCGGATTCGAGTACTCGTCGGAAACGTCAACCGGCATAACACAAAACATGGAATGGACCTGTGAACTCTTAGTCTCATGGACTCAAAATTCGACAGATACATGTTTCGAAAAACTGATGTTTGCGGTGTCAAGGTTATTCCATATGACGTTATAATTGTATAAATGCGTGACAGTTGGCAGGTCTGCTTTGTAGGCAAAGATTCTTTTAGTCCAGTTTCGCGTTCTTCGAAATTTCAGTCGAATTTTGAGTCCACGAGTCATGAGTCCAATCCATGTTTTGTAGTACAGTATGCCGGTTTGAAGACGTGCTTTCAGATACAAGCGAAAGCGAACAAAAAGGGCAGGGTTGTTGTCATAGATATCTTTAAAGTGGATTTTGCCTGTGAATAAATTTAGCAAATGCTCAAAGTAGCTAAAAGTAGGTATAAACATGTAACAAAGTACTCATATAGCCGCCAATATACGCTCAACAGATACATATTCCAACTTAATATTTTGACATTGTTCTAGCTAGGCCATGCTTTAATATGCATCTTCATTGTTTGCGGGCATTGCCAAATACCGTATTTTCTAAAAGGCTTTTTGAGATATGTTCGTACAGTAAGCTATATGACGGAATTCACATTCGTTCATTTACCCCAAAACCAGGCGTAATGATATTTCTCTTCCTGGTAGAAAAATTCAAAAATAGAAATTTCCTGTGCATGCATCACGCACACGCATGTACTGTAACCCATAACACCACCGACACCGTAATGATTTCCTTTGTCTTTTCCTCATGAATTATTAATGCATTTTTTTAAGTATTTATGCACATATTTTCAATATATCTTCGACATTGAAGTTATACATATGAATGATATGAAGTTATACACACACTTTCAACATTGAACATGCCGTGATTATTCAGCACTCATAATCAAGTTTGCTAATGGCTTTTCATAATTGTACAGTTACAACACATTGGAATATTTTGAATTGAAAGTTTGCAAACATTTCACTCTTTCGTTTCACATTTCAAACTATAAAAAGCAAAAATAACGCCAAAAACTTACCAGATCAAACTCGGTCCCCCATCTTTGAACAATTTCTGCAGATAAATGAGCAGGTAAATCATGTTGCTCAGGGGGGTGGGTGTAGAACACGATCTTGCCACTGAAAAAGAGAGAGAGAGAATATACAGTAAGTAAATTAGTAAAATACACAAATTCCAAATAAAGCTTTTGATTGAAGAGGACGTTAGCATGCGAGAAATGAAAACATCGTGTCTGCTCACTTGTTCCAGTCACCAAGCACAGCTTTGGCTGCAGCATTTACATCAGGAACACCGCCTAGATAAACAATAGAGGTCATTCAGATTGTATTACCGCTACAACTATACCATTAACCAAGTAGGAACGTTTAACCTGCTCGGCTACACAGGCTCTTTCCAACTCATCACACAAGCTCGCTTGCGAGAGCATGCATCTAGTTTAGCCTTTCTCGCGAAGGCCCAAATCCGCCATTTGTTAGGTACTATTTGCCCTTGTGAAAGATTCTAGACAATTCAATTATTCAAACAACGTGAAAAGCAACTTTTAAAAGTTGTGACTGTAAATTTACCAGGCAGTACTCAGAAATGGCGGGGGGGAATCGGCCGTGAGAAAGGCTAATTAAAATAAACTATCGGGCATTGTGATTGGATGAAAGTACTGTTGGAAAAGAGGCTTCAAATTTTCGGAAACGACTATTCTGTCGTCAGTTGAAAATGAGGCACATTGCAAAATAATCGCGTCGTCTCTGCTACGTTTTCTAGCATTTCTCAACACACTGCCTGATCAACTTTATTTATTTATTAAGATAAGATCAAATATGTTGTCACGCATAATATAAACATATTAAAGGTACAGCAGACACCAACCTTTTTTTAACTTGCCCATTTTCTTAGCAAGTTCACCCAGAAACTGCTGAGTATCATCGTAGTCAGGTATGCGATATTTCTCCATCACCTTCAATAATTGAAAAAGAAATGATGGGCTGAGCGAAAAGTATATATAAAATACATGTATATAATAATTTTTAATGATGTACAGTATATAAATCATTCCAGGTTAAATTAAAGACGGTTAATTATAATAATAGAGACAAATTAAGAAACAGTTGAAACTGTCCGAATAATATAGGCAAGATCAACGTAATCATCACACGATCAGGATTTCCAATATTTGCTTGCATTTCCTTTTACATGTTGACTTACTTCGATTACAAATCGATAAAAGGTAAACAGTTGTTGATTTTTACGGCTCTTGAGGTACAACAACTGTGCATGTACAGTACATACATCACTGATATTCGTGAATACAGGTTAGTAAAATTCAATGGGGATTTGCCATTGACTATGTGATACAGTACCTGCCTTTTGTTGCATCGCTTCAGGATAGTTTCAACAGGCGTGACAAGATCATGAAGAGATTCAATCTAAATACAAATAAAGAAGCCCTGGTCAAACGAAAATGAGAGCTGATGACAGTTGGCAAGAAAGAGCTTGCTTGCTTACGAGTTTTCTCATTTCATGCCCCGATTTAGAGAGAACAAGAGTTACACGAGAGTTGATGAGAGATGTCTGGATACTACCGAAAAAACTTTCATCAAGTCTCATCGAAATTTGAAAAAGCCCAAAGTCGATGACAGCTGATAAGAGCGCATAAAAAACTGCGTTAATATTCTTTTTTCATTTCATTTCTGATGTTAAATGCTTGCTAAATGCTAACATCAAATTTTAAATTAACTCAAAAAGCTTGATGTCTATATCAGTTAACATTCCATGTTAGACGGTAGGGGCAACCAATATATACAGTACTATCATTTCTGGCTTGGTCAGCCTTAAAAATTCACATATTCCACGCAGTTACGGACTTTCACCAGATATACCTTCACGCAATTTCTCAATATAATGGAACTATCTGATGTCCCAGAATCCATCACGATGCCAGGACTATCCAACAATTTCACATGTTTATCCAACTGAACTTCTTGCACATTTCTTAACAAAGTAAAAGCATACAATCGAACCATTAAAAACTATCACATTATGCCTGTCGCCTGTACATATACAGCTTGTTACCAAGCAAACATTACATCGTCACTGATTTCGTAAGCAGACACCTCCCTTCTTTGATCCAGTGGTGGACAATAGGGAAAGAGAAGGACAAAGGGGAGTGGAACCGCCCGCCCCCATAATTTCTGAAAGCAATAAAAAGATAAACGACTAACTTTGTAACAAAGCTGTATTAATAATTTTTCAACTATAAAAGCGTTGATAGGCTGTAAACTAAGCTATATGTTGCATGGAATTTAAGATTAAAAAAAGACTCTCCCCTCAATTGTCTTGGATTTCTGTCGTTCTTAGCCTGCACAAATGTCAAATAAGTTTGATCATTTCTGCCACAGGTGCATGGTAAAATTTGGCAGTGCAGGAGAACGCTAGCTTATGTATCAAGCACACACGCATACAGCGTAGGTGATACTGTATATTGCATATGGCTGCAGTTCATGAGGTAATTTTCGAGAACGATCCTTGGTCAACTGAGTTGTAAAACCTGTTAAAGCTTTATAATGAATGAAAGAGTCTTACTTTGTGACACCAGGAGTTGCACCGACAGTACACGACCTTGACCTTTTCAAACTGTTTATCAAACTAGATAAATATTACAGTGTATGTGAAGTGTAGAAGTAAGAGAGGATATCTCCAAACTGATACCATGGACATATTTGAAGACATAAAACACAAAAAAATCTCACCTGCTTTTCCCAACATTGGGAAAACCTGAAACGAAATAAAAATATTTTAGCTTGTTTTAAACTATTTTGTATTTTTGTGTTGAAGTGTGCCAAATAGAGTCAAGGATATTATCACCGCTATCATGCCTGTATTTCAACTATCACTATAACCACAACCATGATTATGATCATCATCATCGCCGCCGCCGCCACCATCATCATCATCATCATCATCATCATCATCATCATCATCATCATCATCATCATCAACATCAACATCATCATCATCATCATCATCATCATCATCATCATCATCATCATCATCATCATCATCATCATCATCATCATCATCACCATCACCACCATCATCATCATCGTCATCTGGCCATTACATTCATCATAACCACCACCAGCTCACTATCACATCATCATCGACGATATTGATACAGCCATGATCCTCACCTGCCACAGTGCCAGACTAACATTGGTATCACTATCACCATCACTAACACCATTATCGCCACGTAACCATTATCGTTACCGGCTGACTGATGCCATCACATCATTGTCACTAAAGGCGGTTTTCCAGTCCTCGTACGAAGCGCCTCGCAGCTCCCTGCGAGTGCTTGCATCTAATTAAAATTAACTGTTTAGCATTGTGATTGGATGAAAGTGCTCATGCATGCACTCGCAGCGAGGAGCTTCGTGCGAGGACTGGAAATCCGCCTTAAGACTATTAACATCACCATCACCTACGATAACATTCATGACATCATTACCATCAACATCCTCTTCATTACCACCATTATTAATATCATGTACTGTATATAATCATTTACTATTCACCATTACCATCATTCATCGTCTTACCGACCATTACCATCTACAGCACCTAATCATCACCTGATCACAACTACTATCAACCAGCACCACCATCATCGTCATTCCCACCATCATTACCAATCAGCCTTTCAGAAATATCTTTGTCATGCAAAATTAGCTATTAAAATAAATCTGATTGAAGTTCAGTTTATTTCATACCTACTACCCCGACTGTTATTGCAGTTTTAATGTTCTTATTTCGACAATAATTTCCCAGAAGTTTCATGAGGGTACCAGCTCCCATACATAGACTAGTTGATAGCAAGCCATCAGAAGCCAAGGACGTCGGCACTTTACTCTGGGCCTAATAAATCAAAGAAAAGATACGAATGTAAATGTATAGTTATCATTTCACATGGTACTGAAATACATGTAAAACAAAGAAGTACCTCATGTACGTACTTGAGTTACAACCTATGCTATTAGGAGAGGTTGAGATTTGACTTCCACTACCGCTCAAAGGATTAATTAATAAGCATTTGATTGGCTAATTGGGCAGATTAAATACATCTGATTGTTTAATGGTAGCGGCAGTTCATGAAAGTCAAATTCTAAACCTCGCTATATTATTATCACCATACAGGATACTTTACAGTACACTTGATCACAAATCCACCACCGAATCCACATACAGCCAATCTATATTATACATGCAGAGTGTCTCAAAAAAGGGCAATACGATTTTTACCGGTTTTTACACAGCTAAACTTTGTAGAAAACCTAGAGAACCTAAGTATGGAAATGCTCATTCTGTAGGAGATAAATTTTCATTTTGACGCTAAGATTATTAAAATTGGTCTAGAAGAACCGATGTTGAGGCTGTTTAGAGCGAAGGAGCATCGAACCTCTTCATCCATGAGTGAACCAGACTTTTTTTTAGCGGCCATAACATCAGATTTACTTACGCCTATATATATATATATTCTAAAAGCTCACTCATACTCAAAGAGTGGAGGTTCAATCTCAACTTCCCTTGAGTGCATGTCAATGCTGTTTTTGAATAGCTGGAGGGCGAGTAGTCACATAGTAAGGAACGACACTAACCATCCAGCTATTCAAAAACACCATTGACACTCCAGGGAAGTTCAGATTGAACCTCCACTCTTTGAGTGTGAGCGTGAGTGAGCTTTTAGAATACAGACGTAAGAGCAATTTTACCAATCTACTGTAAATTTCAAAATTCATCTCTCAATTTGACTTTTCGATACCCATGCACTAATGATTTGCTGTGTAAAAATCAGGAACATACAGTAGCTATTGCACCTTTTTTTGGGACACCCTGTATTTAATAATTTCATTATACCAGTACTTACTAAATGCTGTTTCTGTGTTTGTGTTGATGCTTTAAAAGCGATGGTTGGGAATTCGTTTCGTAAATGTTTCAACCATCCTGCAACAACTGACGCAGGTACAAGATCTAAATACGAATATACAGTGAAAAATAAGATAAGTTTCCATCTAGTTTAGGAATAAATCAATATGCGCAAAAATGAAGAGCGAAAGTGAGATATGTCTTCTTCAGCGTCAACACGCACGAGTCATTGATGTGATTTTTTCGTGTTCGTCCTTTCGACTTCCCCATACGTTTCGAGCAAATAATTTCTAGCAATAGTGAATGTTCTCAAACTTACCAATTTTATTTAAAACAAGAACGATTTTCTTATTGCTTCCCGCTGATAACACCGCTTCTTCGACCTAAACGATTTGCACAATATTTAATAGGAGATTGGGGATGACATATGAGTGAAAATGCAACGGAATGTTACAGTACTTAGGGTGTGATAATTCAAGATTTTCACTCTTGAGCTAGTACAAGCTCAACACGCAATGTGTACTTTGTCTTTAAAATAAAGTACATCAAGTTTCAGAAAGGTATTCAAACTTCATGTTAGAACAAGGAGCACAATTGCATATACAAAGACATGTCAAGCTTACACGTATACCGACCAAATGGCTGTAATGAATACCTTGGAAAGTTCATATGGTACCAGCCAAATTAGTAAGTACGCAATAATTGTTATTATTATTATTATTATTATTATATTTATCCAGGATATACCCACGTCACCAAAGTGTTTTTCAGTGGGATCCTGCATTATAAATTTCAACTTCAATACATATAGATAGCGAGAATATTGGGTACTTAGTGGTACGTGACTGAAAACAAAGAAGTACCAGATCCGCAGACCGTAATATTGGCATACTGTATCTCCGGCATTTGCGAATTATCGCATACTGGTACTACCTGTATTACTGCACTCGATACTGAATTCCGGTACCTGCAGATAAGGAAACGTTATTTATGGGCATTTAAATCGAACAGAGGGAAATTTACCTTGAAACAACGACATCCAAGCGGATCTCGAGCATCGAGCACTTCCAAAACAACATCTGAATTATCAACCACCTATATAATACAGTAGTACATGAATAATATATATAATTTATTGAACGTACATTCTCAGCATGCCAAATGGACATAGTTTTGAATGTAGTTTGACTTTTTGAATGAGAAACTACAAATTTTGATGAAGGTGATAAGAAAAAAAAATGATATGTGAACTACTTTCGACCTACTGTAGCATAACAAAACTGTTCTGTAAACTCTCGCTTGCCAACTCTCATCAACTCTGATTGTTTGACCAGGGCTTTAATTTATTATTAAGATATACAATGTTCAGTATCGTGAATATTTAAATTCATAACCAACGAGTTTCACGCTCAATGCGATCTTCAGGCGACGATGTCGACTCTCAGACAGAGCTAGCTGTACATGAGTTGATGAGAGTCGACTGGATATTACCGCGCGTATGGCAAAAACTCTCATTAACATTCGTCAAAATTTGAATCAGTTCAAAGTTGATGAGGCTATTGAGAAAGTTGATGGAAGTCGATGAGAGTTGGCGGTCGAACGCGAGCGTCATCACGTCTCACCCTCGTTCGACTGGGTCTTGATATTTACTATTTCATGCCAAGGTCGTACAAAGAATCATATTAATAAGAAAAGTTAGAAATTTCTGTTTGCAACTATTAGCCCTCTGACAGGAATCGAACCCGCGGCCCTGCGATTCCGTTCATATATTAAGATGATGCCAGTTTAATCTGTATGGGTACTGTAAATCATGCCATGCAGAGGGCCTATACAGTAGTTGCATTTTCCACAGATACTGTACTCCTGGTTGGGTCTATGAAATGTATGAAATTTTCCCTCCAACATTTAGTTCTATTGAGTGAGATGCTCAAAATCCAGGAATTCCTGGTACCTTTTTAAACTCTTTATAATATGCTTTTCTTGATGTTTCTATACAAGATTAAATAAAATTACTCTTTGAATATACATGCACCGTAGTTCTAAACAACATTGCAAGGAAAAGGTGGATAATGTAGTGAAGAATATTATACCTATAGGAGCAGAATCATTCTTGGTCACTTCTTCTGTCATCTTTTTGTGCGCCATCTGAAAATCAATTTCAAATGAACTTTAGTACGACTTTTGGTAGAAGAATGGCTGACTGTTTTCATACTGCAAGTATCATGAGTGCACAGTGAGAATGAAACTCACAATCTCACCAATGGAAGGCACTTGCTGTGATAAAATTGAATCTACAGTAATCCCCCAAATTGTTTATAAAAATAGGTACATTAGGTGAACATGTACCATAGAGCCCATGCCAAGGTTTTGCCGACTGGCAGACATGCAAACAGACTAATAGATCTCATGTTATATTTAAGAATTGACCGGTCAAGTTTGGCTATATGGAAGCCGCATTTCGGATTAAATAATACAATGAACATACTGGTTAAAAGCAGGGTGCTGGAGCCATAGGGGCAGTTGCCCACACCCTCCAAACATTGCGGGGGCAGCAGGTTGCCTTTTTTAAATGAACTGCAATTCGACAGTCTGTGCTATTCATATGAATTGAAATTGAGAACTATTTTCAAACAGATGCAAATTTGAATCTGAATTTTTTTTCACAAACATTACCAATTTTCAATACCAACTTTCCAACTGCAGTATATAGACCGAAGAAAAGACAAAAGGGCATTATTTATAAAATAAGAAATAATGAGTTTCCCGAATGCCTGACGAGCATGTTTAACACTAGCAACAATAAAACCTATAACCTTCGCAGTAACGAATTAGATTTTGCACTTCCAAAACCGAATACGAATTATTGGAAAAAAGCTTCAGTTATCCAGGTGCTGCGCTTTGGAATGATCTGCCGAAGTGCGCAAAAGATAGAGCAATATCAGTTGGTCAGTTCAGGGCTATTCTCAATAACATGGAAGAAAACGAGCTTGTAAATAAAGTAATACCTTTTATAACATTTTATACCTTTTTTAGAATTTCACATATAGTATGTAATATATGTAAAGTTTTGTTTTTTGTGCATTAATTTAGCAACAGCCCCTTGAAAATCAGTCATAATTCACTGAAGGGCCTACCGTTGTAAAATAAGATTAAATAATAAAATAATAATACATATGTATTTGCAAACACGTCAAAACGAAAGCCTTCCTAAATATTGACAAGCTGTCATGTTGTTTTATATACAAAGCAGTTGAGTCTTTAGCATCATGATCAGCGCCGAAATTTGTACAACTACAGGTACATTGGCTACAAGTAATAATTGAGTGTGCGTACAGCGAAATTTTAATGAATATTGCTGCCCCCAAATTAATTAGTGCCATTTTTAAATGGTTGAAGAAAAGAAGGTACTGTAAGGTCTTCAAAAAATAATGACCTTCCGTTCAAATTCTTTGGCTCGCTTAGCAGCATCTTGTTGAAGAGTTTGCAAATTTCTTTTTTTGTTCACTTCCTTCTCTCGTTTCGCCTTTCGTCTCTGTTTCTCATCTTCTTGCTACAAAATTAACAAAGACAAGGTAGAAACTATACCCTACAGACATATGAGATTAGTATACAGATATATAGACAACATCAGGCCTTAAAATATATTTCACAGGGCCGTCTGACAAAATGTCCGGTGACATTGAGTTTGGGTCGGACATATGTCCGATGACCTTCAGTTCAGTTTTGACTCGGAACTAAGTCTGAATGACACAAATGATTATCAGCACAATGTATTAATTCTGTACGGTAAATGTTGTGAAGAAAGTTGAATTTTGTTTCTTTCATACTTATTCCCAAGCCAAAATTAACTTGCTTGCCAGAACAGCAGTATTAAAAAAAGACTTCGATAACTTAAGCCCGTTTTCCACTTCACCATTTCGCTCGCCGCCCCGCGCTTGACTACGTTAAAACAACATTTCCAGTTCACCTTTTATACAATAGTACTCTGACTTTTATGATGGACAAAGCTACAGTTCGGTCGGACACAAATACACTCAGGTCGGACAAACAATAAACCTCAGTTTCACTTAGGTCGGGCAGAATGTCCGGTGGTTTCCTCTCTACATCGGACAATTTCACGAATGGGTCGGATAATGTCTGTGACCGACCGATATTTTAAGGCCTGACAACATTCTACTGGCAATAAAATTATTGCTTAGTCTGAAAGCTTTGGATTGATAAGGATGCGACTACCTGAAAAATACAAGGAGCAGGGTTCGTACAGGTCAGAAAGAGTTAAATTCCAGGACTTTTCAAGGACATATATCAGGAAATTCAATGACTAAAGGGCTGAAAAGAAGGTGTTAGAAATCAGTAAAAAGTGATGATGTTAAATAACTGTTCAAACAGCAACTTTAATGAATTTCAACAATGAAAACCATTTACAAGATGTCAAATACTTAATGTCAAACAATTTCACAAAATATCCACTAAAAGCAAGAACAATTTAAGGACTTTCAAGCACTTCTTTTTATAAATTCAAGGAATTTCAAGGTGTTGAATTTTTGTTTCCAACTTCAAGGACTTAAAAGTTTTGTACAAAACCTGAGGAGAACTTTGACGTTTCGAGCCAAAGCCCTTCATCGGTGTGTACTAACTTCACGACGAAGGGTCTTCTCCACTAGAGCTGCGCGGTTAACTGAAAAATTCGGTTCTTCCGGTACTTTTTTCGGCACCGAAAAACTACACGCAAAAAACCGTTAGTTTCGGTGTTAATTTCCCGTTTAACACCCACCTGATTGCAGGTTGAAATGTTTGGAAAATAACAAGATTGCGCTCTTTGTGCACAATATGCACTGTACTAAGTGCTCAAATAGTTGATATTTTAGTTGTGATCAGTGCTGGAAAATGTTCGGCAGCGCCAGCAGCACCGCTGCCAGGAAATTTTTACCAAAATATCTTTTCTTACCTTGCAAGAAATTTTTGTCATCTTACAGTACAGTAGCTATATACTGGACTGCATGCCATATAATTTACTTATTGTTTACAAAAGCGTTTTTCAAGTCGAGATTGTCTTGTGTCGATACTGAAGTTTATCACAATGTGCGGCACTATACGTTGACCCACACAGGAATTTTTTGTCATCTTATATACTGGACTGCATGCCATATAATTTACTTATTGTTTACAAAAGCGTTTTTCAAGTTGAGATTGTCTTGTGTCGATACTGAAGTTTATCCCAATGTGCGGCGCACTATACGTTGACCTACATGTATACAGGAAATTCTTATTTTTCCATTTTGCTGCCAGGAAGAGAAATAATATTTTCTGGGCCTGATTGTGACAGTTATTTTTGTGAACTTGTTTTAATTTTTTTTAAAAACTAAGAAATATTACATCTTCATAAATAAATGCTTATACCCCCAAAGAAAATTTTTGAACTTGAGACTCTTGAAAACTACAGTTGTCTTGAAAGGTGTGTTTAAGGTCACCACAAAACACACTCATTACAAAATAATTATAATAGTTTCTTCCCAAACAAATGCAGGGGAGGATAGACAGACTTGACTATACACTTGCTCCCTTCTGGCGCCACCTGTGCAACTTACTTACTGACAACTTACACACTCCCTTCCTGGCAAATTGACTGAACCAAATATAAATATGTGAAGCGCTGAGATCATGACGCACCATGGAAAAACAAGTACAAGATTAGTACCTTTTGTTTTCTCCTTTCAACCTCTTCTAAAATCTTTTCCTTAAATGGGCATAAATTTGGAACCCCAGGATCTTTCTTTTGCTCTAATCAAATAAAAACATCATGTAAACCTCATGGATATGGTCTTACTAACAAAAAATCTCCGGTGGTTCCAGTTTAAAAGTAACTTTATGAGTGTGATCAGCTGTACTGTTGGGGTGCATGCACGAGATAGAGTATTTTACTATCTGGCTGGATGGGAGAATTGGTCAACATGTTGTCCACTTAATTTATACCCCTACCTAGGTACCCCAGTGTCCATTGTCTGATGGCAAGTGAAATTTATTCAGGCAACTAACTTTCATGTTCAACTTGCCCGAGGACAAGCTTATGGTCAAAAAAGTAAAGTTACACCACTGCAGATATGAAAGATATCCTGGTGGATCCTTATCCAGTTGGATACAGAATATTGATTATACAAGGTTCAGGCCCAATCATTGGCTATAAAGTGATGGTGTTTATAAAATATTGACTTGAAATGACAGGAAAAACAGTCCATGGTTGGAAAAGCCTTGCTTAAAAAGTTCAAAAACACATGCAAGCAAGCATGGAAAATCTTGGAAATATTGCTCATATTCAAGCAAAATATGATGCAAATTTGTAATTTTTAAACCATATTACAGCATTTCTACCCTGAAAAGAAGGCCTGAACTTTAAACAAACAATATTCGGACGTCATTTGTGGCATCATGTTGTATCATGAGCAACAAACAAAATGTCGGCAAACAACCTAACAACATCCAAAAAAAATAGGTACGCAAAGCGTACATGTATCTGCGAAAAAACTTGATTCACATTTTGTATTTCCTTGAAAAGAACTGAATAATGAAGATGACATGGGTCAATTGAAATATTTCATCATTTATTATTATTATAATAAATATAATAGCAAATAAGACTTTAGCGGAGGGCACCAAGACAACTGCCCTCCCCCCACCCCTGCTGAGAAAATATAACTAATTTTATATAAATGTGATTATGATTGTAACATAATTATGCAGTCAAGAAATAAAAATGTGATGCAAACAATATTTGAAGTGTCTATACAGCCAACAGCCGGCTATTTAGTAAACTGTCACTTGTCACTTTGAAGTTTCAAAACTTTATTGTAATCATATGATCAGCAAAAGTTCTGTCACTTGTTGTTTACACTTGCCAATGTTAGGGGTGTACTGGAACTCGGTTCCGGTTGGAACCCCGATTTGTGAGAGTTCCGGTTCCGGCTGGAACTAATAAAAAACCATGGCCGGAACCGGAACTTGGTCCTTTTCAGAGAGATAGAATATCAAGTTTATTTATTGAATAGCATAGGACGAAATCTGGACTACGCAAGATAAATATACACTATTACTGTCGTTCCAATTGAAGTGTTGCTAAAATATTGATTCAATACATTACCTCTGGCTGACCAATTCATTTCATCAAGTTCCTCGAGATATTCATACACTTCCTAGTATAATTGTAAACTTCCTGTTGAATAGTTTAAATGCACCAATCACCTTTGTTGTTTGTGCAACTAACCAATCATAAATAGAAAGGAAGTGACCAGAAATGATCAAATACTTGGAATTAGCTCTTTCACAGGAAGTGTATGAATATTTCGAGGAACTTGATCAAATGAATTGGTCAGCCCGAGGTAATGTATTGAATCAATATTTGAGCAACACTTCAATTGGAACGACAGTAATACTTTATTATGACGTTTAATTAAGTGATCTTTTTATTCTAACATTTGCATGCTCTCTCCTTGTGTCCTGATTAAACTGCACTTTAAAATGTTCGACATAAAAATACTATCAAAATGAAGAAAGAAGTGAGACAAATCTACTGGTATGCGGCCGAAAAAGAGAAAACCAACGATACCAAAGTTATCAAGGATCAAACGTACTGCATTTTTTATAATTAGTTGAATAATTTTAAGCGATTTGTCAACAATAGTCAATACGATTTCGCTTGGCTTTCAAAGACAAAGGCCACAATTTCCACAAATCACTAGAATACTGTTGTTTAGTAAAAATTTGACATCCGTAAGTACAATTCTTACGCTGAATCGAACGTTGGTATTTTTATCCGTATTGGGCCATTAGGCATTACAAATACAACAACAAACGTACTGCGAGTGATTTGTCTGTCTGTCTGTCAGCAAATATCCTATATACGTATACTGCGAGCAATTTGTCAACATTACAATTTCGCTTGATTTTCAAAGGCCATAAATTGACCATTTGCGTAATAGACAAAATTTTGATCTAAACAAGTCCAGACAAAAATTTCATCACAGCTTGAAAGAGCATCACAAAATCAGTAATATTCCAAAGTTTCGTTGCGAAGTTTGCAATTTTCAGTCATTTGAGATTACAAACTGGAAATTGACAGCCTCAAAGCATATTGGGCTGTCAATTTTCCGTTTGTAATCTAAAATGACTGAAAATTGCAAACTTCGCAAGGCTATATTATCCGCATTTTACAACATTTCGCAACAAATCTTTGGAATATTACTAATTTTGTGATGCTCTTTCAAGCTGTGATGAAATTTTTGTCTAGATCAAAATTTAGTCTATTATGCAAATGGTCAATTGCTAGAACACTGTTGTTTAGTAATACATTACATTTGACATCCGTAAAATGCAATTTCTTACACTGAATCGAACGATGGTATTTTTATCCGTATTGCACCAATATACTGTACATTAGGTGTCATCACTGTCATTAGACATTACAATATCATATTTCACACTACAGTTTTCACAGTTTGCACGGGAATTCAAAGATCCAAATTTCGGATTTTCAGAGTTGTGTACCAAGAAAAATGTATTAAGGCGAGACTTTTTTTATTCATTGGTTTACGGATCTGCCGACCGTAAATATTCAGAAAGTGAAAAATAAAAAAAAAATTTGGATGTCAAAATTTTTACAATTTTAGTTAATTTTAATTAATTTGGGGTTCTGACATCAAGTACACTTCAAGTAAACTTTGACTCTCAGTATTGTTGGCTCATGTTATCATTGTGACAATCAGTATGGAGATTAGCCACGTTTTTTTCGGGGTTTTTTAAAATTAACGTTAAAAAGTCTTACAAACTTTAAGATTATTAATTTTGGTTCTCATTTATACTCAGTTTGTTTTTTTTTTAATTTTTTTTCCGACCTGCCAATTACCTCTTATTTTTAAAGTCAAATCCGTAAACCAATAAATAAAAAAAGTCTCGCCTAACTAAACTAGCAAAAATACCCAGAGTTAGACACAATGCAAAATCCATAGAAAACCGGTACAATTCGTTGGAAATTTTAACAAAATTATTTGAAACATTTTGCCCACTCACAAAAGGCCGCCATTTTGAAAAGGATAAATTGGGTTTATTAGGCAGCTCATTAATTTTAATGCAGGCACGATGTAAACAATCGATGTAAACTAATCGCTGACTGGCTTAAATATATCATGAATTGGTTCAATTATATAAGCTCTTCACTGAATGGCTATGTTAACAGTTAACACTTAACATACCGTACGTTTGCGATGGCAATATACAGTATCTGCTTCGCAGATACAAAAACTAGGGTCAGCTAGCAGAAAAAAATAGAGTCAGTTGGGAGCCACATAATTTTGTTGGGCCTATTACAATCAATAGTTATTGTAAATTTTGTATAATTATAAACTCAGAAGATGAGCAATGACAAACTTACTCCTAAATTTGTTTGGATTCAAACGAGTTTCCTTCTTTTGCTTGCGGTTGTGTTCCCTAACCTAGAAAGTAAAGGATAGGTGTGGTATTAATAAAGGGTAGTAATACAGTATTTCTTGAGCAGATTTTATAATTTTTTTAAGCCAAACATCAGCAATGTTTAATATTGGTACCGTAGGCAGTTGCACTATATTGACAATACTTTACAGTCTGGGTCTGGTGCAGATAAACATTGGGATCTAGTCCAAGGTGCATTTTCAGTGCAATACACCTAAGATCTCCGGTGTGAGTTTGGCAAATTACAGTACTATATATAGTTAATTTAATATTGGTATCTCCGGCATAGAGTTTACATGGAATGCATCCTGAGATCTAGTGTTGAATGACTAGCCACGCATATCCAACATGCATAGTAATATACCTTCTTTTCAATTTTCTTTTTCGTCTTGGTAGACATTCGCTTGCTCTGTTTTTCTAAAAGAAACACATACATTGACCGAGAGACACTACAAAGCTTAAATGTATAGCAGTCACTTCATAATTTTAAAAACTTTCAAAAACTGTAACCAATGCTTCAACCCATTCCAGACTGTAAAGTTTGGCCTGAATTTCTGTCCATTTCATGATTTATTTTATCTCTTACGTGTTGGGCCTTAAGTAGAGAAAACTCTGAAAATGCCATTTCAGATAATCTGGAGACTTCAAATTTTCAAAATTCTCTCAAATGTTCTGCCTTCATTTCCACGCAATTGCCGTTTACGACGGAAAAGCTAGTTCCCTGTGCAAAAATACTACTTTACAGTCTGGAAGCCATTGAGCATCAGCGCCCTCCCGTTGATGAGTAAAATCATCTGGCTTTAGGCAGAGTAAAGTTATATGCAACTTAATGGGTGAAATATGTTTCAAATATTAAAACATGCACAACTTTCCAGCCATATTCCACTGGAGGGGTAGAAAATTCCAATTTTCCGAAGGATCTCCAAACTTTTAATTTCTTGAAAATCACAATTTCCAAGGGGATTGTAACAGAATTGAAAAATTTCTAAAAGGGTCAGGTAAAATTTGCCAATACCCAAAGGGGTCACTAACAATTCATGGAAATTTCCAGGGGATTGTGGTATACTGGTATTTATGACAATACAAATGGAAAGATTCCGAAGAGGTTTTTTGCCATATGTGGAACCTCGTCAACAGGTATCAGGTATTTCCAAGGGGGTTGAGAAAAATTGGTACATTTAAATAATTTCCAAAATGATTGGTAAAAAACCCGTTTCTGAACGGGTTTAAAATGGCCCTTCACAAATCACAACATGAAGTGCTAGAAAAATTATAGCCACAATTCAACTCATTTTTAAAGATATATGACACACAAAATTAGAGGTTTTGAACGATATATGTAAAGTTCCAAATATAGAATACTTACTGAGTCGAACCATTGATTTATTGCGTTGAAAAGGACTTTAAAAAGGGGAAAATATGTGAAAGATTTCTCAATATTTTCACACGTGCCTTTTTGCTGCGCCAAACAATAACGACATTTCGAGGCAGAACCGCTGTACCGCTATCCCGCTGTGCCGTTTCAGTCCCGGCACATTATCTCGTATAGTAATAAAACCCGGTCACCAGGTCTTTTTACGATATGTGTGGATTCTGACTGTATTACGTTATGTAAAAAGGTAAAAAGCATACATGATCTCGATTAGGCTTTCCGCTATCCATTTCCAATTTTTCGTCGCTTTTGAATGAACAACAGAAATAAACAAATAGTTATTACAGTTGATTTAAATGTTTTACCCCACCGGCAGAAAGTCCCATCTCAAATTTCCCGCCATGGAAAAAGTTCGCGAAATTCAAAAATTTCAAATAATTCAAAACACGCAAACTCGCAAAGTGAAAAAAATCTTGTTAGATATTTCGATACAGCCTTTTCGAAAATATTTCAAATAAATATCGTGTTTAAAACGTGAACTTTAAGCACTTTTTATTTTAAATGTGTATAGTATAAAGGTTACATATAAATAATTTATAGTTTTCTTTGGCCTTCGGCCTCGCTCGAATGGCACTACCAAGGACAGATTTTTGAACTGTCAGGACAGATTTCTGCGATTAAATTACAATCGCTACACTCAAATATGAATAAAATATGAACCTTTATTTAAATGTGGTACTCCAAATATTGGCGTTGCGAGCTATTTCAGTTATAAAACAATGATAAGATTTGCATATTACGTTCGGTCAAAGTTGCAAAATTTTGAATATTTAATGATGTTTTGAAAATTCTTGATCAATGATGCTTGCAGTGTGTTGTGTTTCATTATCAACAGTTATTGCTTTCCATTTGTGTCTGTTCTGAATCGAGATTATAAGCATTTTAAAATGGAAAACGACGGCGTAGCAGAAAGCAACATAATAAAGGCAGAGAATGGCAAAGAATTAAAATTTTCTGAAGCTACTACAGAACTCCAATCAGGCGTTAAAACGTACACATGGCGTCTGGAACCGCAGAATGTAAAATTAAGGTAGGATTATTGTCAGCCATGTAAGTACAGCAATGTTCGACCATATTTGTGAGCTGGTAGTAGTTGGGAAATATTATAAAAAAACTACGGGGGATCAACAACGAAACGACAACTGACAAATATATTATAGCTGTGTTTACTTTTATATATATCAAATTTCATTTAAAAAATCAGAGATTAGATTTATGACCTTTTATGTTATATGTTCTTATGCATTCAATAAAATTGAAATCTGCATGTCAACGCTAGTGGCATATGTTTTGAAATATGGCAGCTGTTACGAAAAACGAGGAATTATAAAGGAACGTTTTGCACTACAGACATTGTGTCAAAATTAAGGGATCGTTTAACCCGGGGGGTTACTCATTTCTGACATACTATTTTTTTGGTGGGGCTTATCATGATTCACACATTAGGGGGGGGGGGGGGGAATAGGGGTATAC